CCGTTTCCACTACCTACCCCAATTCTTAATCCCCCCACTCCCGTTTCCTACAACGTTTTAGAGTTGAAATTATTTTGCCACGTTGACGTGTGCGACGGGTTCGTTATTTTGATTAGATTGAGACCTGACACCATTTTCCTTGTAAATAATAGATGTTTTGATACGATTTCGATTTTGCTGGCGGATTGGGTTTCAGACACTGCATTCCCACCAGGTGGTAAATTAGGTCCTCAACAATGGAGGCATGTAGAAATGTAGGATGCTGAGGGGAGAATATTCGGAGAAAATGTTCTAATCTAAGGGTTGATTCTGCATCGGAACAGTGCATTGATCTCTATTGTTATGTTTTGTACTAATGATACATCTCATCTTCATACACAACGAATACTACATAGGTGTGGCTCAGGCTGAGCATATTTTACAATTTTTTACAGGGATCTGTTTCAAAAGTGGTTTAATTCCTCCTAGTTCTATTACGACATCACCAATTATCTTTTTTNGGGGGGGGGGGGGAGTTTTTGTGGCTTCTATTCCTTTCGTTATAAACCTTTAGGAATCTACAGCCATCTATAGGCGCTATTTATTGTCCTTAGACATCAGGGAGTTTGGTAGACATCCATGCTCGGGCTTACAAATTTTCACGGATTAAGGCCGAGTGAATTCCACTTGCAGATCCACTCGTCAGTTCCACGGAAATTAGTCGCCATTTAGGCTAGGGAATTTCCAGGGATTAAGGCCGAGCGAATTCTGCTTGCAGATCCACTCGTCAGTTCCGTGAAAATTTATAGTCACCACCGGGATTCGAACCCGCGACCTATTGACCTAGAGTCAGACGCACTAGGCCAACCTGGCCGGCACCAATTATCTTAATTTTTTCCAATAGATTAATAGCAGAAGCGTAGAGTTTGAGGTCAACCCTACATAACGGTTGAGGATTTATTGTGATAGAGTGATTCGATCCAAACTGCGATTGATAGAAATTTGGCAACGCTAGCTTGTCTATTCAAAATGTAAAACTATGGATATTTTTTTAGGGAGAATGCCTTACCTAGTGTAAGTGAATTTAAACGACTCAAAAAAAAGTGTCGCCACTTCCAAGAATTGCTTTGAAGTGCGCGGGGGAGGGGAGGGAGAAAATGCGGGAGAAAAAGTTAAATGCGAAAAAAGCGAGGAGAATGCGAAAGTAAGAAATTAAATGCAAAAAAAAGGGGCGAAATTAATGAAAAATTACATTGCCGATGAGTTCAGGAGGACTGGTCAACGGGTCAGCAGATCAGAGGCGAAAACACACAACGGCATGCTTCACGATAAATTAGTTTCACACATGGGCCGAGTCTCCGCCAAAATTCAAAGGATGCGAGAGACCCCGAAAGCTGCAAAAAATCCGGACTTCAAGCAGACGCAAGCGTGGAGTCGGAAATATTCGACCAAGAGCTGATCTTCAACCTAAGAGGTCCAATTCAATATATAGAAATCATTGCCTACATCCCTCTAACTTTTCTCAAACGAATTTGTTGTGTCCCTTAACCGCCATAAATAAAAAGCAGCAAGATAGAAGATGTCTCAATCCTCGATCTTTCACTAGGGAAAAAAAAAAAAAAAAAAAAAAAAAAAAAAAAAAAAAAAAAAANTGACAAGAAAAAATACTCTTGATTCAATCGGATTTTTGCTTGAATCAAAACGAAATCCGCTTAAATTAAGAGGCTTGGTTCTTGATTTAAGCTAGATTCTGATCGAATCAAAAGTACTTATTCTTGTCGATGTTTTCAAGAGTCTGGACTCTAGATCCAATGTGTTTTTTTTTCCAGAGTTCAGTCAAGATTGAGTTCAGTATTTCAAGCATTTTTACGACTTTTCCGGGTCTGAAAACTCTCCTTAGTTTCTGTGTTTTCCTAGACTGTCGGGAAAAGTATGAAAAAACAGGATTAAACAATCTTGTTGACTTGATTCAGCAGTTCGATACTTCCTTAATTTTTTGGATAAGCTTAGAAAAAAAGACGAGTAGATTCCCTACATTTCCAGTTTTATTCTTTCTTCTTTTTTTTTCATGAACTCGTCGATTTGTGTCCGACTCGTGCGATCATTGAACATTTTCTTGACTTTGTCCAGTTCATTAAAGTTTCCCATGTTGCGATCAACACTGGTCATTTATATATTACTCTAAGTCAGAATTTCTAACTGTTACGCGAACGATACTTTTAATCAATCATGGGGACTCGATTTCTCGTTTCTCAAATTAGGAGACAGAAAGGAAACAGAGCACTTCGTCAAAGGACCCGGTAAATAGTCAAATGATCATCAAAAAATCACTGCTGATTTCCATTTTTTGTCTCGTGGTTTGTTTCCAAATTCTCTCCGATAATTTCACCGATCCGAATTTGATCAAAGCTCTTTCGATTTCTGCATGCAACATTTGTATTCTTGCTCTCTACTTAAAGATACCACAAAAAAAATTGTAGTTAGCTTACATTCTTTATAAAACAGAAAAAGTTGTGAACAATGCGACGATGATCTGTTCTTTCAAAAAAGTTCGGCTCACAAATAATACTAGAGGATCGCATTACGCTAGACGGGAATAATTTTTTTGGCTCATTTTAGAAAAAACTTATATATGATTACGTTCTTAGTCCAGGCGCCTGGTAAGTCCATCTGGAATTTTGGGTACACAGCGATTTTTTTGGCTTACTTTACGTTTTTTGGGTCGCTGAATCCGAATCTGAAGTTTCCTACCGCGTATCTGGTGAGCATTTTCCACCATTTTGAAAAAATGGCCTAAAAAGGCTTTTTTTGCGGTTTTTTTTGGTATAGCGGCTACGCATGAGAAAAAGTCCCGGATTCAGTTAATGTTTTGAATAGCTGACAAAATTTGAAAGAAAATGGTATATAAATATGCTAGGTTTGCCCAAAAATTGAGGAACCTCGGATCTCGGAACTTTGGAACGCTTTGGAACTTGGCTGACTGCGACGAGCCGGATCGCGCGTTGACGGGTGCGCCGCGAAAACGTGAAAAGGCGCGATGTTCACGATGCTGTATCTTCCTCAATTTTTAAGCAAACCTAGCATATGTATACACAATTTTCTTCCAAATTATGTCAGCTATTCAAAACATTAACTAAATCCGGGACTTTTTCTCATGCGTAGCCGCTATATAAAAAAAAACGCAAAAAAAGGCCTTTTTAGGCCATTTTTTCAAAATTGCGGAAAATGCTCACCAGATACGCGGTAGGAAACTTCAGATTCGCATTCAGCGACCCAAAAAACATAAAGTCAGCCAAAAAAATCGCTGTGTACCCGAAATTCCAGGTAGCCTCATTTTTAGCTACAAAGCGCCTGGACTATCTCTAAGCAATGCAGTGAGGCACTAATTCAACAGGTAAATTGTAAGCTGCGCGTATCAGGTAATCGTGTATCGATGGTTGCGGATGATAGATGAGAAAATATGGATGTCGGGCGACATAATATGATGGGTCGAGCGAAACGCTGTACAGAATCGGATCCAGCAATGTGCGATACTGGATTGCCTCCATTTAAACCCATGTTAAATAATCGATTCTTATCGGAGCACCATGCCCTTCCAAGGATCGATATATTTCCATGGGTTTAAATGGAGGAAAAACGATGTTGCCAATTTGCTGGATCCGCCAATGACGCTGTATCATGACGTCACCCCTCGGCGGTAGTGCGTACCATAGTTTCTTCCGCCAAGGATCTTTCAATCAGTCATGTTCATGCACATTCGCACTGGTAATTGCTTGATGGACATCACTAATCAAACCGAGGCAGAGGGAACCACGATATTCACTACCACGGTGGATGATGTCATAATCCGTTGATTATGAAAACACAATATCGCCGCCGACATAGGAGTACTTTGTGATTAGATAGATCACAAAAAAAAGGACAGAAAACATAGGTTAAACAAAGCTGAAAGTGTAAACATGAATTGGTGCATGATCCGACAACCACTGGTGTTTTCTTGATCATGTTTTGTGTCATACTCTGCGACTGAAAATGAGCTTGTGACGGCTCGAAACGTCCTGCCTTTTAATGTTTGAAAATGTTTGTCTTGTTTTACCTATAGGTATTTTTAGTCATTCTTTTTCTTTTTTGGGCGAATCTTGCAATTCTTGGCTGCTCTATCATCCGAGACCATTGAAACACGATTATTTCACACGCGCAACTTATCCATCGCTATGGAATCATTTGACTATTCGCCGGGATTTTGATAAAATAAACAATTCGCCTTCGCCAGTAATACATTGATTGTCATCATTTTGTCTTCATGAATGGGTTCGTAGTGCACAGGATATACAATCATTTGAGAGGACTTCGAAAGAGTGAAATCGCATGAAAATCACGTTGAGCACATCAAACATTTCTGCAGAACCCTCCTTGGCGCACAATTTGCGGGTCCGTGTGCCAAGAATTTTCAAATTTATCACGCCTGCTGAGAACTTGATCTAGATGAACAAGCAGCCTAGCAAAGTATTATCAATCTCTCCCAAGTATGATTTTAACCATTTAAAATATCAGTTTCCATCTGAATTAGATAAAAGGCAAGATTAAATCCTTCTGGCCACAAGTGAGGAAGACGGATAACAGTTCGTAGGTTCATTTGTTTATCTGTGTTAGCCTTTCTCACATCTCTCTCAACTTGATGGGCGGCGACCGTGAATACAGTGCCTGCCCTGGCGGTAAATTTGAAAATACCTGGCGAGAATTGATCAAAGGATCGAGGAGTTTTCATCAATTGGAATACATTTACGATGTTCTTGACGTTATTTTCGTGGGACTTTGCCTAGCCTTCTCAGATGGCTGATCATCTTGTAGACCGACGCATTCAGACGAATTACAATTTTGATACGCGAATCGCGAAGACACTAGGACGGAGAGGCTCTCGTATGAGAACACTGATGGAAATCTGGGCCGATTGACCGACGGTCATGAGTCCGGGGAGTGGGTTAGTCGGAGAGCGGGAAACACCGCAAGGGCAGACTTACGGCTAGGATGGCCGAGTACTTCTGTTGACACTTGACGAGCGCGCTCTGCTCCCCCGCGGGAGCGCCCTCCTCGTCGTCCTGCGCGACCCCCACGTACTTCTGGATGAGGCTCTGGATCTCCTTCCGTTTGGCTTCCCGCTCGGTGAGCGGCGCCGGAGCCGGGGCCGGGCTCAGCGCGTCGCCCGCCTCAGCATCGATATCGATGGCCGAGACGCAGGCGGCCAGCTTGTTCTCCTTGCCGCCCTTCGGGGTCGCGCCCGCGGTCGCTGCCTCGGCGTTGTGGCAGGACTTGAGCCGCGGGCGGCTGCTCCGGAACGGCGTTCGGTTCCGCGTCGCGCCGCGAGGTGCCGCTATCGACACGAACGGGTACGCTTTCTCCGAGAGCACCACCGTCGTCGCACTTTTCATCAACGGGCGGAGACTCCGCTTCTCCTGCGAGAACTCGACGGAACGCTGGTACGAGTACTTGGACTCGGCCGCCTTGGAGCGGGCCTTCCGCTCCACGCGCGCTTCCACCGACTCAGGCTCCGGGTCGTCACGCAGCCGAAGCGGCTTCGACAGGGGGATGTGGACCGGCTCCCGGTGGAGGGCCAGCATGTCGTAGGTCCGCCCGCGGTGGAGCCGCGGGCTCGAGCACAGGTCCGTGTACTTGTCCGAGCATTTGTAGACGCTGAGGGGGCCGTCGTACTGTTTACGGGTGGACGTGCGGCCGAGGAGCTTTTCCGAGGGGGTCGGGCAGGTGGAGGGTCCGCGGACGCGGGCCGTGATCCGGTTGATGAGGCTGGAGCACGAGTCCTGGAGGAGCTGGGTCACGCTCACCGTCGACGAGCGGGCGTAGCGGACGCGGCGGTTCTGGGCGCCGGGGGTCGTGGTCGTCGACATGACGGAGCGACCGACTCGGACGGCTCGAAACTAAGCTCGCCGATCTTGTCAACGCGGGAGTCGCGCCCCGCGGGCAACCCCCTCCCCCCGCCGCGGCCCATCCCGCTGCCAAAAGTCCGCCGAGCCATTTCCACTAAAAATACGCACACGCTCCGGTCGTCCAAGCCCGGGAGACTCCGCTCGACGGGAGCTGCTATCTGGACGCCCGCCGACGCAACAAGAACCTTCTCGACGCGACTCGCGCCGTTCCGACGGCATGATACCGTAGTTCTCATCTGCCTGTCGTTCCGATTGCATCATCGTCGAAATGAGGGGCACTCCATTTCCGTGGAATCATTCTACGTGACGTGAGGTCACTTACAAACCAGTGCCCATTGAGAGCTCTTTCAGAACTCAGAAAATGTCATGTATCCGTTACAAAAAGGTTTGAATGTCATGACATTACTACGATGTGCGCGAGAAATCTTGCGGACCATCAACTCGACATCAGATTATTATTTTTCTTTTGCCCCAATGCATCCTGGATAATATTATCTATATATTATTCTACATACATAGATTCATACCCTTCTAGCGCATTCTCATCTCAACCACCCTTACTCCTCCCTTGCCCCCACTACCACCTACTTCGAACTACCGATATTTTTGAGGTGAACGAGTAAAAATGCCCGCAACCTCTCTAATACGACATACTCAATTTCCGCGAGTTTTTTTTTTTTTTTATGTTATAGGATGATCGACTCCTTATATTGATAGTGCGTTGAAAGATTGAAAATTGAGGGCAAGCTATGGTAAATAGAAGAGACGGACAAGTTTATAATGAAAACAAGGAAAATCATGCGAAATCCAAGAGAGGAGCTACTTAAATTAGAGAATTTGGTTTGGACACACGCAAGAAAAAAATGCGCTGTCGCAATGTCAACTTCAGCAAGGGCATGGGCAAGCGCGAAGCTGGGGCGCGTGGTTATCTTTGGCGTCAAACTCAAACCACATTTCGACCGCGGGATTGATTTACCGGTGACATACACTGTAGCCTCAATTTTATTGTGGGAATATAATTCCGAGATTTGGGTCCCTTAATGTTCGTTCTCATCTGCATTAGACATCTTCGAGTGTCTTTGCGTGTCGGGCAAGTAGGTATTGCTGGTCAAGGTATCATAAAGACTTAGTTATGTTGTGATTGATAGTTTCGACCTGTTCACCGGACTCCAAGTGAAGTGTCGTATGTGCAGTCAAAGGATAACCTCACATCAGACTTAGTTGAACCAGTTTCAATGGCACTGAGGCTAGTTTACCGAGTCGACTGTACTTACTCAGTTCGCAGAAAGAATTCGGAAAGGATGCAAAGCATGTTCACAAAGTCGGAAAAAACGTGCAGGGGACACGCAAAAAAAAGGAAAAAAACTTGGGTAAGAACGGCAAATAATAATGTAGAGCTAAACAAAAGTTATGAGGCAGGGTTCCCAGCGAAGTTCGGTGAACATTTTATGACTTTGGCTACTCTTATTTTTCTTTCTTTCGTTCTTTCTTTCTTTCTTTTTTTTTTTATTATTTGTACAGCATCAAAAATCCTTCGTAACATGGACGTTTCTTGTCAATAGAATAGTTAAACACAGGAGAGAAATTACGAAACGAAGCTCTGGTCAACTCAAACCACCACTTTGACAGGCACCTGACCAGAGGTCTTACAATCGGTCCTTAGACTGACCCCAGCTCACCGGGCGTGAGCCTGGATTTGGGACTGCTGGAAACCCTGCAGGGAGAAGGGCGGATGATGGGCTACGTACGAGGAATCGGCGAACAGGGAGGATGGGCAGAGGCAGGGGCCTCGGGCGGTCCTTGGGCCCGGGTGACGTCGCCGGGATGACGGGCCACCACGAGGAGTCGACGAGGGTGGCGCGCTGGACGTTGCCCAGGGAGAAGCCGCAGAGCCGGGTCTCGATGCTCTCCACGGCGGGGCCCTCGGAGGCCCGGGCGCCGGGGGCCGTCGACGGGAGGCGCGGGCCCCCCGGCTGCCGGGAGATGACCCTCCGGTAGGGTCCCGGCGAGGGCTCCTGCACCATCCTCGTGTAGGCGTCCTTCTGGTCCCGGTCCCGGCGGAATCGGTAGATGCACGACTTCAAGGCCGGCGGCGTCTGGCACTGGCACGAGTCCAGGCCGTCATCCGACTCGGCTTGTTGGCAAGGTCTTCGACACACGAACATGACTCCACTTTCACCTCCTCCGTCTCACTTGCGCCCGACGCCTCGACGCACTTTTACCGGCTTCCATCGCGGATTTTCCGCCCGTGATTTCTACCGCCGCGCTCATTTTCCCCCGGGGCCAGGCTCATTCCGCACGCTCTTCGTTGAGCTTTCCCAGGCTGTCGTCGTCCATGCCTCTGGAGTCTTCGTCTTCAGTGAACTTGATTCGATCGAATATATAGGAAATTTCTATCTACCTTAAGACACAGAAGAAGAAAAGAACTCCGATCAGTTCAGTCGGCACTTTTCGGTTCGGAAGACAGCCGCGGTTTACAAGAACTGACTTCTACGGTTGACGGAACCCAACTTTGGCCCGGTGAATCCAAGTTTTAGTTCACCGAACTGAACTTAGGTTATGTCGACTGAAGAGGTGGGGTTGTGCGACTTGTACTTTAGTCTCCTGAGCCGAAAGCACCTGATGAACTTATCGGTTCGTACGATCGATATTTTTACATCTCATGCGTGGCTCTGCATTTGAAGATCCATTTGAAACCAATCCGAGGAGTAAGAAGATCGTTCAACCTCGAACTAGTATATCACACGTCACTGAGTTCTCATCCGTTACGATGAAGGTATTCCACAGATCCGTTGAGTATATGATTATCGTGCGTTGAGGGTCCGATGAGTAATGGGTGAGTCTCTGATTTCTCGACGCACTAACCTTTTTATAGTTCTCGCACTTTGTTTACCTCTTCGCACGACGTTAAAGTATGTTCCCTAAGCAGACCACGGCTTTCGGAAAGATCACGACCCGAGTTCCTCTCGATAACCCACGAGTATTCGACGACTGTCCTGATGGAAAAGTGGGCCCACCGGACGAACTTATCGATTTACGGTTCCACTGGTGGGAAACAGGAAGTTTAAGACCCCTTCTTTTCGCTTCTTTAGCGTCGTCTCTTATCGTCCTGACAGCTACGACGCGCCCACAACTACTGGGCGAGTAGGCACTATAAGGCACGACAGGGTTGCAAATTTAGTTAAGTTTTAGAATTGTTGACTTCTAAAAGGAAAATCTTTCTATCGGTAGATATTGAAAAATGTATCGGGTTTTTAAACTCATTTGTTTCGGTTTTACAACTAAGGGAGGGTCCTAATCTCGTCGCCAAAACTTTCCAAATCCCAACCCTGCCAAACAATCACGTGACTATCCTCTCAAAATTTTTTGACTTTTTCACAAGAAAGAAATATTTCACAAAATTTCTCTTTAGCTTTACAAAAATTTGTAAAAATGAAAATCACTAGATAAGCTTCCAAAGTTGTCTCGTGTCTCTTTCGCGGTTCTTTCAAACAGATACGCTGCCCAAGCCCTTCGGCGTTTCACTAAGAGAGAGGAACATTTACTAAAAAATGACACGTGCTCTCGCGGCGCAACCCCCTCTGGATCCTGGAGTCCCAGGTGCCGGGTCGTTCCCTGGGGCTGGTAGCCCTGTCGGCTGTGGCGGAGCTGACACTGGACACTCGCGGCGCGGGGTCACGGGACCGGAGGCGAACGCGGTCGCGGTCATGGGCCGACTAGGCGACTAGGGGTCCACGGAGAAACGACGGCGGCGGCGGCTCTCCGGGGCTCCATGGGACCCGTGGCCCGTGCCCATGCCCCACGGCGAGGAAGCCCCTCGGCTATTTATAAGTCCACAAAACGTGCATTCCACCAATACGCGCCCGGCTATGAAATGCCGCCGCCGCCGCTGCACCGATTCCCCCCGAACTTGAATCGAGACGTCAAAAAAGGGCCCGAGTTTCGGGTCCAGATTCCTTCATTTTTCCATTCCCTAATTCCAAGGTTGCCACAGAACGTGGAGAAAGAAAATCCCTGGCATTTCCCCTGATTATTTTGAGTAAAATTCTCAGACAATAAAAGCTATGCCATTTTGACGAAAAGACAATTTGAAAAATTTCTTTTGTTTTTCTAGACGTCAAATTCACTCTAGAAAACCTAATGAGGGTAAATTACCAATTATCCTCTGACATTTTCCTCGACATTTCCAGGTTCTCCCTGACTTTTTAAGATTCCCTGACGCTTCCCGGGTTTCCCTGACCGTGATAACCCCAAAGACGTAAAGACGGAGCGCTAAAAGCAACAAATGAAGCTTCTTTTCAATCACCTCCACTATTGGCTAGAGGATTGGCGGCAAAATCGGGACAAGTTTGAAATTCAAATGTAGGGCGGGAACTAAATTAAATTGCGGAAACAAAGTATTTTAGGTTGATTTTTGCCCAAATTCACTTACACACTCATATTTTTATAACTTTAGGTTAGTTTTGGTCCGTCGTCGAACGATTAATTTCATTTGGGAGTAACGGTCATCTACGACTGTAACGGCCTGTTTGAACCGGCAGAACCACCATGAGCAGGAGAAAAACTAACTTTATCTGAGATTACTGCCTGTTACCGAGCAAAAGTAGGTGTATTATGGTAGGACGCAGTCCCAACTTTCTTAATATATTCGTTTTAGGCATTTAAAATACGTTTCGAAGAAGAAATGTGGAAAAATCAAGAGGACAAGTTCAAATCAAATTTCCGTTTGCCGCCATGGATTCCCGCGCTCATTTACACACTCACACAAGCACCAAGCGCCAAACCAGGCTTCACTTTTTCCTCGTGCTTTTAGATACGAGCACTCCGTCTTTATGTCTTTGGGTAACCCTGAAATTCTAGAAAAAATAAAAAACCTGGAGTTCTAGAATAAAACGTTAAGTCGGGGGTGTGGTAAAGGAATATCCTTTCAATCAAGGGGGGATCCCGTGATTTTTGAGGAATATCCCCATTTGGATATTGTGTTTTAATCTACAGGAGGCTTCCATCCTAATGTATGACCTAACCTAACACGCGAAGCAGAAA